TGAGACTTGAAAAGAATCAAAACAGGAAATTTTAAAATATTGACATATCAGGGCTACATCCAAAGCCCTGCTATAGAATGTAATAGTTTAGAAGCTCTTAACATTTTTTGTTTTATTTTTCAATTGTTTTTAGATAATATTTGAGTCAAATGTAGTTTAAGAAATGGTACAGAAGGAGACTGTGTATGTATCCTTCACCCTGTTTTCCCCAATGGGAACATATCAATCACCTAATAACACAATACAATATAATAATACAATATTCTGGTCTCATTCATGTGAGCATATATTAAACACATCTCAGTAGTTTTATAAAAGCAATGTTAGGTCTCTTCAGTTTAGTCAGTGTGAGAGAAGGTGGGAGAGGTAAGTTGTATCAGTGTAAAAAAAATATTTACAGGTAGGCACACAGACAGTCACATTGAGAAGCACTGTTGGAAGCATGCACTTCCCTTTATCTGTCAAATAGTCTTTTTTTTTTTTTTTTGGGTCCAGTCGTGGGGCCTGAACTCTGGGCTAGGGCGCTGTCCCTCAGCTCTTCAGCTCAAGGCTAGTGCTCTACCACTTGAGCTACAACGCCACTTCTGGCTTTTTTCTTTTTGCTTATGTGGTGCTGAGGAATCGAACCCAGGGCCTCAGGCATGCAAGGCAAGCACTCTACCACTGAGCCACCTTCCCAGCCCTCAAATAGTCATTTGATCCAGTTCTGGTCAATAAGAAATGATGGGAAACTCTGAACATTGTCATATATGGAATTGATAAGCTAATTTTGCCAAAATCCAAGACAAATAGTACTGGAATGCAAGATTGAAAGAAGGAAGGATACTTTGTTCTTTATTATGTCTCATTTGCTAAAATTGCTAGTTCTGGACTCTGTTGTATCTCTATACTTTTCATATTATAAAACGTATGTGTCCTGGGCTGGGAAGTTGACTCAGTGGTAGAGCGCTGGCCTTACATGCATGAGGCTCTGGGTTCGATTCCTCAGCAACACATAAGCAGAAAAAAAAAAAGCCGGAACTGGTGCTGTGGCTCAAGTAGTAGAGTGCTAGCCTTGAGCTGAAGAGCTGAGGGACAGCATGTAGGCCCAGAGTTCAGGCCCCACGACTGGAACAAAAACATATGTGTCCATAATGTTGGAATCTGGCTGTAGCTGGAAGCCACCAAGATATTACAGTCAATGAGAAGAAAACTGGTAATAATATTTCACTATTTACTGTTTTGCTATTTACTTTTCTAATATTTGTTTAAATAATAGTGCAATAAACATTGATTTATATAGCTATTTCCCCCAACAATGGGGGAATGCCAGAAATGATCAGTATTATGTTATCTCCCTACATTAGTTTCTGTATTTGTAGTAATGGAGATTGGACTCAGGGTGAGGGCTCTATCACTTGAGCTCTCTTGAGATAGGGTCTCATTAACTTTGCTTAGTCTGGTATTGAACTCACAATCCTCCTGCATCCACCTCCTAAGACATCATGCCCAACATGCATGCAAGGCAAGCATTCTACCACTGAGCCACCTTCCCACCCCATGCCCAACATTGTTATCACTTATTTTATCTACCTACATATAGTGTTAGTAGTAATAAGTATTTTTAAATCTTTTTGGGTTTTTTTTTTTTTTGGGTCCAGTTTGTGGGGCCTGAACTCTGGGCCTGGGCGCTGTCCCTCAGCTCTTCAGCTCAAGGCTAGCGCTCTACCACAGCACCACTTCCGACTTTTTTCTTTTTGCTTATGTGGTGCTGAGGAATTGAACCCAGGGCCTCAGGCATGCAAGGTAAGTGCTCTACCACTGAGCCACCTTCCCAGCCCTAAATCTTAATCATTGTATTTTATTTTTATGATTTACTCATGACATTTCCTATTTTCCCATTTTCATTTATTATTGATGAACATATTCATTGTTTCTCTGTGTTTTCCTTTTTAGGAAATTATCAAATTATATCATGTTTTGTACATTTCAAAGTTATGAAATTTGTTAAGTTATAGGTACTGTTACTAAAACAAGGGGATAATAAATGATGGGGCTGGGAAGGTGGCTCAGTGGTAGAGCGCTTGCCTTGCATGCTTGAGGCCCTGGGTTCAATTCCTCAGCACCACATAAGCAAAAAAGAAAAAAACCGGAAGTGGCGCTGTGGCTCAAGGGGTAGAGCGCTAGCCTTGAGCTGAAGAGCTGAGGGACAGCACCCAGAGTTCAGGCCCCATGACCAGACTCCAAAAAAAAAAAAAAACATTAAAAAGTTCCCTAAGTACTTTTGTAATAAAAATATTAGGCCTTTTTCAGATTTGCTGCAAATTTTTTTTTTTAGATTTTTAGTTCCCTGTTGGTGGCATTGATTTACGGAAAATTATATTTCCAGTTGTATTTAGTCCAAGTATGAATAAAAAGCCTATGAGATGATACGGATGTATACAGAAGTTATTATGTCAACAATATGAAATAACCAAAATACCATGATACCCTGAAAGTAGGAAGTATTTTCAATCAAAGGTTTTTTTTTATATCTTCACGTATATTATGTATTTTTTGGCCAGTTTACTTTAAAAAATATTATATCAATGCCAGGCAATGATGACTCATACCTGAAATCCCAGTTACTCACAAGCTGAGATCAACGCTGAGATCAAAGGATCACAATTCAAAGCTAGTCCAGAGAGAAAAGTCAAAGAGGCTTCATTTCTAAAATTACCAGCAAAATGCAGGCTGGAAGTGTGGTTCAAGGAATAAAAGTACCAACAGAGCAAGAAAGCCAAGTGAATGTAGGAGCCTGAATTCAAACCCCTATCGTAGTAAAACAAATAAGCAAAAAACAAAGATTCGGTCACGTGTGAAGTCTTTACTCTCAGCTAAGTCATTGGTATAAAACTGCAATTATAGTTTCAATAAAAGAGGGCAAAAAAAAATTGAGCAGATTAAAAAATATACATAAAGCGTGTGGCTCAAAATAGATTAATTTTTCTTCCAGAAACACGATCAGGGGCAAGTTCTGTTGGATATAGTCTTCAAGCATCTTGATTTGACTGAACGAGACTATTTTGGATTACAGTTGGCTGATGATTCTACAGATAATCCAGTAAGTGTAAGCTATTTCTTTTGTTTTCATTTTAGTTTTTCTGTCTATAATATAATTTCCTTCCTTATATATAATGTTCATGATTTAAGAGTGGTGGATTTTTTTTGTTTTTTTTGTTTTTTTGTCAGTCGTGGCGCCTGAACTCTGAGTGTGGGTGCTGTCCCTCAGCTCTTCAGCTCAAGGCGATCACTCTACCACTTCAGCCACAGTGCCACTTCTGGCCTTTTCTGCTTATATGGCGATGAGGAATCGAACCCAGGGCCTCATGCATGCAAGGGAAGCACTCTACCACTGAGCCACCTTCCGAGCCCCAGTAGTTAAAAATTTTATCTGAAAAATTAGATGTTTGATGTTTCAATCCAAGTTACTAACGTTAGATATTCATAATTATGTCAGCCCCTAGAATCTAGTACCAGTTTAATTATCAGTATCAGACAACTGAAAATTAAGTTTAATTCATGCCTCTTAATCTAAAGAGAGAAATCTTTTAAGAGTTTCTAACCTCACTTCATTCTAAGTTTTTACTTATTCTTTAGATTCACAGTCATGGTTCTTTTGCTTGAGAATATCAGATCATAGAAATAGATGATAATGGGCTGGGAAGGTGGCTCAGTGGTAGAGCGCTTGCCTTGCATGCCTGAGGCCCTGGGTTCGATTCCTCAGCACCACGTAAGCAAAAAGAAAAAAGCTGGAGGTGGCTCTGTGGCTCAAGTGGTAGAGCGCTAGCCTTGAGCTGAAGAGCTGCGGGACAGCGCCCAGGCCCAGAGTTCAGGCCCCACGCGGACCAAAAAAAAAAAAAAAGAAATAGATGATAACATAATAGAAATGTTTGACAATTTAACATTTTAACGTACTCTGAAGAACTATACCATGTATACCCAATGTATGTAACTGTATTTCCTCTGTACATCACCTTTATAACAACAGTTTTCAAATTAAAATAAAAAAGACCAAAAAGAAAAAATACATACCATGGCCAGGCATTGGTAGCATACTCTTAGAATCTTCGCTGATACTCATAATGAGCTTTAAGATTTAAAAATTTTTCAGAAAAAAGTTTGTTTTTTTTTTTTGGGTCTGGTTGTGGGCTCTGAACTCTGGGCCTGGGCGCTGTCCCTCAGCTCTTCAGCTCAAGCCTAGAGCTCTACCACTTGAGCTACAGCGCCACTTCCTGTTTTCTGGTGGTTTATTGGAGATAGGAGTCTCACGGTCTTTCCTGCCCGGGCTGGCTTTGAACCTCGATCCTCAGATCTCAGCCTTCTGAGTAGCTAGGATTACAGGCGTGAGCCACCAGCGCCCGGCGCTTCTGGCTTTTTTTCTTTTTTGCTTATGTGGTGCTGAGGAATTGAACCCAGGGCCTCAGGCATGCAAGGCAAGCGCTCTACCACTGAGCCAACTTCCCAGCCTAAGAAAAAAGATTTTAAAACTTTGAATTAAAGGTAGATTAACAATTGGATGTTTGGGCCTAGGAATAAATCTCCTGTAAGACGTAAATATAATATGGTAAGGTATGAATAATTGGTGCACATATTTTATATATCACATATACATTCGTTTATAAGACTAGAGCTAAGGCTTGGAAGGTGGCTCAGTGGTAGAGTGCTTGCCTTGCATGCATGAAGCCCTAGGTTCAATTCCCCAGCACCACATAAGCAAAAAGGAAAAAAGCCGGAAGTGGTGCTGTGGCTCAAGTGGTAGAGTGCTAGCCTTGAGCTGAAGAGCTGAGGGACAACGCCCAGGCCCAAGACCAGATCCAAAAAAGAAAACAAGACTAGAGCTAATAATTTACTTGACATATAGACTTTGAAATTAATTTCATTGCACTTATAATTAAGAAACTAATAAAGCATGTAGCTTCATGTTTCTGTTTCATGCATAGCAAATATAGAATCATGGGTATATTTTTCTTTAAAGTCTTCTACAGTAAGGAATTCTAGTGCAACAATCAAAATTACTTAGAGCAAAGCTTTGACTTTCTGAAATTTCTCAATGTTTTGATTTATCATAGCTTTGGCTTTTGGTATAATTGTTGTTTCATTTTGTTGTGTTACGGTTTTTGTTCTTAGATGTTAGGAAGCATGCTATCTGGTAAGCTATGCCCACAGCTCTTTTTGCTTCTTAAACTCATTGTTAGGGGGAAGGGTGTCAATTTTCATTCTCCAGACTATGACAGGCTATTACAAAGGAATCTGAGATGTAGAGAAGTGCTTTAGAAAGAAATAGCAGCGAGGCTGGGAAGGTGGCTCAGTGGTAGAGTGCTTGCGTTGCATGCATGAGGTCCTGGGTTCAATTCCTCAGCGCCACATAAGCAGAAAAAATAAAGCCAGCAGTGGTGCTGTGGCTCAAGTGGTAGAGCACTGGCCTTGAGCTGAAGAGCTAATGGACAGTGTCCAGGCCCAGAGTTCAGGCCCCACTACTGACCCCCCCCCCCAAAAAAAAAAAGTAAAAAAACGAAACAGCAGCAGGTGCAAGAGACAGAAATGTTCTATTTGAGGAATTAAAATGGTTACTAAGTAAAGTTGTTTACACTTGTAGTCTCAGTAACTTTGGATGTGGAAATTAGAAGGATCATGGTTGTAGGCCATCTTCGGCCAAAAGTTAGTAAGCTTCCATTCAGCAAATATGCTGGGTATTGTGGTTTACATCTACAATCTCAACTATGATGTAGGCATACGTAGGATTATAGTCTAAGGCTTTCATGGTTTCAATGGCTCCAGTGGTAGAGCATTTGTCTAACAAGTGCCAGGATCAGAGTTCAAACCCCAGTACCACCAAAAGAACAAAAGTAAAAGTGAAGTAAAATTTTACTTTGGCTGGAAGATAGAGCAATAGAGGCATAAAAGATAGCATTTGAGCAACATATGAGATCATGAAGTGCTTTTTAATCCATAATAAAATTATATATACTTACATAGGACATAATTTATTCAACAAACATGAAATTTTTATTTTACATATATCTGATTTTAATGTAGTCTGTGACTAATAAAATTGAAAATTAAAGACAATTGGAAGATGGTTGGAATAATGCAGTTGCTATAAAAAATAATGTTTGCTTGTAGGAAATAGGGAAAAGTATGTGCTAAAGGTAATTAGGAGATAAAGTTATTAGAACTATGGTTCACCATTAGGTATGCCATTAGGTTAGGGGTGCTTTTTGTTTTTGTTTTCTTTTTTAAGTCAATGTAATTGAAGCATAATTTACATAGAATAAAATTCAACATCTACTCACAATGAAAACATCAACCAAAAGGAACCTTTTCTCTGAAAAAGGATGTCTGCTAAACATCCTGACAATGCATCTGTGAAATATAAAGTAGAACCACAAGGAAAAATCAATACACATTCACTAGAATGGTTAAAATGAAAAATTCTTTCAATATCAATATTGGCAATGGAGCAGCATCTTTGTAACAGGTGGTATGCACTTGTAATCTCATCACTTGGAAGGCTGAAGCAGGAGATTTGTGAGTTCAGGGATAGCCTGGGCTATGCATAACAAGTTTGAGGCCAGCCTGAGCAACAGTAGCAAGATCCTATTTCCTTCCCCCCAAAATGTTTGTACGAATTTAAAAAGATAAGCCACTTTGGAAAATAGTTTGGCAATTGCTTGTAAAATTAAATACAATGTTAATATGCCATGCAGAAATAACATTTTTGAAGATACTTAACCAAATGAAATGAGAACTTGTCATATAAAACCTTGTACATAAATGTTCAAGGTAGCTTTTTCTGTAATACTCCAAACATGAATTAACTTTTATGTCCATTAGCAAGGTAATGAAGAAAACTTGAAATGTATCTATATAGTAGAACAAGGAAACGACAAATAATATCAGAAGTTTGGGTAAATCTGTTGTCTGGAGATTGAAAACATTGCAAATGAACACAAGACATTTTAGGGTGAGAGAAATGTCTTATTCGTGATGTGATAGTTACCTGGCTTATACATTTCTTATGACTTAGACTGTACATTGAAAATATATGCATGTAATTTAGCTCTGTCCACAGTCTTTTGAAAGAGCAGTATCCTTTTGTTTAAAGTTCCAACTGCTCCTTTTTTATGAGTCTCTTATATCTTCATGTACATACATAGTTTGTCAGCTAGAATTGAGATAGCTTGTATGTGCTGGTTTTTCACTCTGAATATTTTGTGAATCCTGAAGTCCTGTCTAGTAAGCTAGTAAGCTAGACAGCTAGTAAGGCTGTCCTAAGCTTATATTTGAGTTTTCTTTCAGGCAAAAAACTGGTAATGTGAAAATCCCATCTATTGAGGTTTTTCAAGAATAGAATTTGTTTCTACATGCTTTGGGTTACTTTCCAGTGTCATACCCTGTATACACACAGACACACATAAAAATGAATGCCATTAGTTACCTGACATTTAGAAGATTTCTTAGAAGATTGAACCTTGACAAGGATTGGAGAGAGGGGGATCAAACTAGAGGAAACCCCAACAGAAGTAATTGAGAAGAAAGGGGGAGAGCGATTTGAGGAAACAATGGTCGAAAGCTCCCAAAATTTGAAGAAAAATATATTTATACAAATACAGGAGCTCACCAAGCTTCAAACAGGATTTTTTAAAAGTTGAGAAATGAGACAAACTTGAAAGCAGCAAGAGCAGTGTCTTAACACATACCATGGATCCTTAATAAAATAGGAACCTTTCAGAAGCAATGTGATGATAGATTAAAATGCTAAAAGAAAAAAAAAGCTGAAAATTCTGTATCCAGCAAAACTATTCTTCAAAAACGAGAACATTGTCAGGTGTTAACAGTGCAGGCTTTTAATACCAGCATTCAGGAGGCTGGAGGCAGTTCAAAGCTAGTCTGAGCTACATAGCCAGAGCCCATCTCACAGAAAACTTCATAAAGGAGAATTAAGATATCTCAGGTAGAACCTGAGGGAGTTCATTACCAATAGACCTGCTTTAAAACAAATGCTAGAGGTAAACCTTTCAAGTTGGAATGAAAAGACCCTAGACAGTAGATCCAGAGCCA